CAGAAGCTTTCTCAATTGCTACAGTCCATCTCTTTGATGTGCATCTTCTACTTTTCCTTCCATGTACCCAATGAAGCCTTTAGGCTGTCCGGATTTTGTACGACTAATTACGTTTACTTCCTTTTATATTAATTGATAATATTGCTCATTTACTATCTAAGTTTTTAACAATATTATTAATATTGTTAGTTTGTTTGCTATTTTACTAGGTAACGTATTAAGTTAATTAAAGATTGTGGCCCTAAAAATTGATTTCGACTGTAATAAAACCAGTTATTTTGGTTTAAATATTAAACTACTGAACTAATTTTGATAACATTTCTATCTATCTATATCTTTCTATCTATCTATTATAGTCTATCTATATCTAGATATCTAGACTGTATTACTAATAATAATAATACTGTACTAATTTTTAATTAAAAATCATGCTGCTCTTAAAAGTTGTTTGGATTTTAACAATACTAATATATATATATATATATATATATATATATATATATATATATATCTTTTCAGATAAATAAAGACTTCTAAATCGGTTAGAACTTACGAAATTATGGGGTAACATATACTATAAAAAAAAATATGACCGAATCGAGAGCCTGCTTCTTTATGAAGTCGTTTCAAAATGTTAAGCATTAAATTAGACTTTTATTTAAATAAAAATATTTTGCTTGCGTGCAGTGTGACAACCCTAACTGTAGGGTATGTTTATGCCGAGCGTGTTTTCGTATTGATTGTTCGCTCAACAGAATGCGAAAATAGAATATTGAAGAAATAAAAGTTTTAATCAGCCAGTCACTTTTAATTCTTTTTTATTTACATTTACTCCTATTTTTACTTTCAATGATTACTTTTTCATTTCATTTAAACAAAAGCGTTTCAATATTGTTTCTACAATAAATGTGCGCTAAGCACGTTTTATTTCTTTTAAGAAATCCCCATTAAAAGATAATTGAACAAGGTGTTATCTTGCGGAATTCCATAACACTGGTTATTTAATTAGAAATATTTTGTTTAATTCCGCCACCATTAATATGTGTGTGACTGCCAACACTTGAAGATTGACCACGATTATTACTATGCAATTTATGGCAGTCTATGGCGGAGGTTTATGCCCAGCAGTGGACGGATAATGACTGAAAATAAATCATAATCATCATCAGATGATTATGATTACTATGCAACTTAGAATGGCAAACAAGCTGACGGCTTACCTGATGGAAAGTGGTAACAGTCGACTATAGACATGAGTAGTACTATGGACAGTACCTATTATTACTAGTTGAAATTTCACAACCTTCCATATTAGCCATCAATCTTCGATTACCATTTTGTTCATGCACGTTTTGAGAGACGTGTTTAATCTCTAAACAAGGTATTTTTAAGTAAATTATTATGGCTCGGAGTTTAGTTTTAATTATTTAGTACAGAAACTGCGAAAAAGAAAAGACCTTTATGCCATATAGTACGTGTATAGCAAATTTCATAGTGACTGATTAAGCCGTTAAGGTGCTAACAGATGACAAACAAACAAATTCACTTTAATTTTTATAATCTTAGTCAGAATTTATATTATATTTTTTATCAGATGCAGATTTTGTACAAAAGTCGTTTGCAGGATTAAAAGCTGCTTAATGCTTTTAACCGTGCTAAGTAAACATAGGGTATGTTACGCTGACGAAGTCGCGCTTAAAAGCTAGTATATAAATATTTTGATGCAGTTATTCTACGGTGAAATGCAACTAACTATTCCTTACAGAGATATACTCTGAATACGTATTCATGAGATGTAGTTCATTTGTATAATATTCATGCAGAGAAGAAGACTTAAACGCGTTTACATATTTACGAGAAATTTCTATGACATTTCGTACGGGTATTTGTAATTTATATTCAACAAATAGGTAAATTTTATTTCTGCGTCATCATCACATGAATTTAATAGAGGTGAACTGTCCACTGCTGAACTTAGTCTCCCATAAATAACAGGTTTGCCAGTGTTTGTCAAGGTTTTAGCGATGCTTTAAAAGGGACGCTGCTGCCTATCCTTCAACCATTACGTTACTTTAGTGACCTCTTACGACGTTCACGGGAAACGAAGGGAGCTTATTCTATGACGGGACGACACGGCCATTTTTAGATATTTCTGGTTATTTGATTAGCATTATTTTGTTTAATTCCGCTATCATTAATATGTGTGCGACTGCCAACATTTAAGGGTTGACTACCATTAATATATATAGAAGTTCTATGGTATTTTTTTTAGTCAATCTTCAAATGTTGGCAGTAGCACGTGTTAGATAATTATTTTAAATTATATTAATTTTCCTAAACATCATGTGTTAAAATGTGTACCTACATTTATTAATAAAAATCAGACTAACTACTTTAAATATAATAAATCTTTAAAATTGTTATTATACCAAATTTGGTAATAAATTATTCTTGTAATGTATATAGAACACTAATTTATATTTTAATTAATTTTATAATTATTTATTATCATAATTCTTGAATAAAAAGTAATGAAATTATTAGAACACGTGGTCTCGTGGACTTGTTCACTCGAATTCGACCCTGTAGATATAAAAGATTGTTATTTGGGTGGGGAGACACTTCTCGTCCAACCGTTGAACAGAGCAGAGCTCCCTAACTTATCAAGAGTCAACAAGTATAGTAAACCACGTGGTCAATATATAACATATATCACATTTATTGTTGATGGAAGTCCTAAAGAAGCTATATTTAAATAAGTGTTAATGGACTAACAGAAGTTGGGTATTTATGTTATATTATTTGTTATATATCAAACACAAAGTGAAATAAGTAAATATATGACTTAATAGTATGATATCTAAGTTAAATGAAATAAGAGAACTTGTGCTTCATTTCTATTTATTACTAAGACATTTATAACCTTTCTATTGCTCAAGAATATATCTTATATACCATGTAAAGTTAAAATTACATAGTTAAATTATTATATAAACAGATTACCCTATAAACACACACATATATATATATATATATATATATATATATATATATATATATATATATATATATATATATATATATATATATATATATTATAAATAATATATTTATCATTAATTTGATACACGCATAGTAATGTTAGCGGAATTAAACAAAATAATTATAAAGAACTAACTAATGATATGGACTTTCGCACACTAATACCTAGTTCAGTTAAATATATTCTATTTCGCAATGATGCATCCTTATTATTATTATAAATGTGAAGGTGTGTGTGTGTGTTTGTTTGTTTATTACCTCGTAGCTCTTTAACGGCTTGACTCATTCTAATAAAATTCGTAAAATATTTTAATTTTTGAGTTTATCTACAACAAACAAACAATAAAATATTTCCTCTTAATATTTTAATATTAAGTATAGAATTGTGTCATGTCACATTATAATTGGGACAAAATTTACATTTAACTGTCAAAATTATCTCAAAATTGGAATTAGCAAAGATGTCACGTGATATAAAAAATACAAGGGTATTGAAACTTTTTTAAAAGGTAGGTACTTTATCAAACAAACATGAATTTTAAATTTTGTTACACGAATGATACTGTTGGAAATAATAAACATAATACATTTTATTCCTTATATTTATTACTGTTTGTGATGAGTGAAACGGAGCTAAAAAATTGAGTGTCAAATAACAATTTCCCCATTGTGCAGTTGGAATAAATTTTCTACCCGGTGAATTTTCTAGTTGGAAAACACAGTGGGTAACTAGTTTTGTAGTTGGCACACACAAAGAGCGATAAATATGTCCTAAGTTGAGCGAATTGGAATTTATAATTTAATTTTGCTACGTCATTTATTCTATATGTACTTTTGACATATTTTAATAGATGATAATGGAATGGTAACCCCGCCTGCGCTATCTGGCACCAATGAGGGATGATAGATGAGCATGAAAGCAGGTCTGTTAGCCCATCGTGATGAATGAAACGAGTATTAATCACAATGGTTTCCAGGGGGAACCGCGTGGAGGTCGACCTGACAGGGCTTGCTAGCAATGGGGCCATTAGTCCCCATTTTTAACAATCCCTTTCCTCTCACTTTTGACATATTATAAGTATGTATAATATATATACTTTATATATATACTTATTTATCCAAACATATCTATCTATATATACGCATGAAAAGCTGAGTTGGATTATTAGTAACGTATAAATTTATATATATTTCCAGTTGGCCACCCCTTCCTTTCCCGTGTGTGTCGTAAGGGGACTAAGGGAGCTTTAATTATGTAAGCACTGTTACTATGATAAGAATGATCTTTATAGCCCAGAATGTCCAGAGTCCAGAATGATTCGTTGGCCTTTTTAATTACTATAATGCCATGTAATACATTTGTTTTATTTTTACATTAAAATTTGTTTTATAGTCAATAAAATACTTTCTATTCCATTTCATTCCACACCACTTCTTTCCACTCCAGTCCATTTCGAGCAATTCAATTGACTTACAGTTCATTCTATTTCCATTCATTTTCAATTATTATTCTTAGTGTTTATTTCATTAAATATTCTCCGATATTATGTAGATAGTAATATATTAAGAGTTAATGAATAATTTACATATACTTTTTTTTTATACGACTTAGAATGGCAAACAAGCTGACGGCCCACCTGATGGAAAGTGGTAATCGTCGCCTATAGACATGAGCAGTACCATGGACATAACAGAGTATACTGTTTCGCCCATTATACCCCCATGCGTTGTCATTCCTGAGAACTCGAGTGTTATTCCTCTGTACCCTGTAAATTAAATGCCATATCCCACCCTTCAAACCGAAACACAGCCATGCAAACACAACTGCTTCACGGTAGAAACACGAATGTAACAGAGGTGCCCAAATAAACGACTTTTGTACAGTCTCTTTTTTTGCTGCTAACTCTATTAGTTCTAGTTTTATTTCCTATTAATGTTTTATTTTTTATTTATTTCAGATGGTGCATACGATGATGCCGCTAGCAAAGTCCATAGCCTTGGCCATGTCGATAGCACTCACAGTGACCTACGCGGGACTCGCGCTGGGATTACGACCTGAAGGCGAAGAAAAGCAGTTCTACCAGCAGGTTGGTTGGCTACGGTTAATATTATTTTACTCACAGCACCTATGCAAATATAAAATTATTATGTACATAATAATTTGAAAACCAACTGTCGAGTTTCCTGCGGATTCTTCTCAGCAGATACTCTTAACGACATCTCGAATCAAGCACTGTGATCATAATTAATTGACGATTTAAAAGAGCTTGTAAACAAGTCTATTTAAGTAAACAATAATTCTATTCTTTTCTATGGTTAAATGTATTAAATTCAAAAGTCTTAGTAATTTATTCACATCTTAATTATATATAATATTGTAGTAGTAAATTAGTTATTAACAGGACTTTATTAGCGTGTACTAATAAACGTTTGTTACTATTATACTAATTTTATTATTTGTTTATTTATTATTTGTTATATCTTTTACTATTTTTAAGGTGTTATTATTTTATTAGTTTATTATTTGTTTTTTAGTACTTTTCACTTTTATTTATTTTGCGTCATCTATTGTAGAGTCAATGTGAATCAAAATTCTAATACTGTTTATTAGTTATTAGGAGCCAAATTTTAAACAAAAACGTTTTTGTGTTTTAACAGAAATAAAAACAATTTTTATTTATTTGTTTTTGTGAAGCAATAGTCTGCGTGTGTTTATTTCTTTTTAAGCAACTCTTAAAAGGAGAGCGTGCTCCATTCGCTTTACTATTTTTGTTCGTATCCTACAAGATATCTTCGCCATTTCTAAAAAGATATTAACGATTATTTTAGCAACTGATAATCTACTATCAAATGTTGTATACTGTGTCTATAGATGATAATCTATAAGTGACTTCATTGTCTTGTCTTGTTGTTATTTTTTATGTAAATAAATAAGGCTTGGTTTTCCCGTTACAAATGAATGAAAGAACGAATTAATGAATAAACGAACAAAGAATCTAACGAAAGAATGAACAAACAAACTAACGAACAAATGAACGACCGAACGATCGAACGAACGAACAACCGAACGAACGAACAAATTAATGCATAAATGATTGAATGAATGAATGAAAAAATGAACGTATCATTAAGAAAATTCCGAATTTGTCAATTGGTTTTATATTATTTTTTATGAATTCCATTTTAAATCATTATTTTTTTTTATAGCAAACTCTGTATTTTCAAAACATGATATGAAGTCTGAGTAAATATAATTAATTTCAATACGTGTTTACGACTTCGTCATCGTAATACAGTGATTGAACGTAATTGACGGAATGATATTAATATTGACAATTGTCTCACGAATTGAATGTAGACATTTATTTCGTATTCTCGAAGCTGTGTGCGATGGCCTTTATTCAGATAGTTTAAAGTAAAACACTGCTAGTTAGTGTTTAGTATTAATTTTGCGAGTTACATGTGTCGTCCCGTATACAAATTATTTCAGCAAACAAACCAACTTAGTTATAGTTAAGCTGCAAACATTATTAACGTTTGCTGCCTAACTATACGAGTATACTATGATGCTGTATAAACATGCTAATAATATTGACTTGAACATGAAAAAAAAAATTGAATTAGTAAATAAATAAGAGGAGTGCAGTATAAGTATAATATGTGTGTGCATGTGTACGTGCGTGCGTGCGTGCGTGCGTGTGTGTGTGCGTGCGTGCGTGTGCGTGTGTGTGTGTGTGTGTGTGTGTGTGTGTGTGTGTGTGTGTGTGTGTGTGTGTGTGTGTGTGTGTGTGAGATGAAAATTGTGTAAATATATATACAAGTAGGTGTAATGTAATATAAAAATGCACTATGCAAAAGGTGACACCTTTCGCCACTCGGGGCAACACGATTTTTGTTTTTCTAGTAACAGTTCTTTAACATTCTTTTTAAGCGTGTGTGAAAATGTAATTATTCCGAGGGACAGTGCGATATTATTTCAGCATTTCGTTGCCTAGTAACAAAAGCTGCCGGCATGACACAGTTATATAACGTTGAAATGACAATGGTGGTCGCACTGACCTAGAATTATACCTACTATAAAAAATGGAGAAACTTAATGCAAAGAGAATCTTGATTTTTAAAAATCATTACACCAAATAACAAATCAGGGGGGAAAGGGATTGTTAATAACGGAGACTGAGAATCCCATTGCTAGCAATATACCCAACCAGGTCGACCTCTTCACGGTTCCCCTGGAAACTATCATGGTTAATTCCTGATGAATTCATCATGATGGGCTAACTGGCCTGTTTTCATTCTCATCTATCACCCTTCACTGGTGCTCCGCCGGCGTATCCCGTTAGCACAAGCGGGGTTACCATACCATTTTCACCCATAAAAAAAAAAAACAAACAAATCAGCTATATACAATTGTCGCCGGGTTTTCATATTAAGCATAGACGCTATATTAAAGATTTATAATTAACATTATTGCGTAAAATAATCAAAAAAATATCGGAAGTATTAAGAACTACTCTTTGAAAGTTGCTTAAAAATTATAAGTTTGTATTGATTTGTATCGATCGATAAGTTATAGCAAAAACGCCAGACATTTTACAATGAGCAATGTTTAACTTGTTGTCAAATTGGCTATTTAACTTCTAAGCATTTTGTGGGCCATCGTCACGATAGGCTAACTGATCTGCTTCATCCTCACTTATCATTACTTACTAGTGCCCCGCCAGTGTATACCGATAGCGCATTTTTTTATACAACTTAGAATGGCAAACAAGCTGACGGCCTACCTGATGAAAAGAGGTAACCGTCGCCTATAGACATGAGCAGTACCATGAACATAACAGAGTATACTGCTTCGCCCATGATATCCCCCATGCGTTGCTATTCCTGAGAACTTAGGTGTTATTAACATACTCTGTACCCAGTAAATTCACGCCATATCCCACCCTTCAAACCGAAACACAGCTATGCAAACACAACTGCTTCACGGTAGAAACACGATTGGGACAGAGGCACCCAAGCAATCGACTTTTGTACAAAGTCTCCCTCTGGTAATGCGGGGTTAACATTTCATTAAAGAAGTCAACAATAGGGAAGTGTCAGAATCTTCGTAATAATGTAATTATAATATAATAATAGCTAATCTGCTTATCAAAAACGGAATAAAGAAAATTGAAGCTGTAATCTTAACCATCCTCTTTAATTTCTACGTAATCGTTCAATTATTGGGGAGTTTGTTTGAAACTGCCTCTATTCTTTTGATCTTGATAAATTATCAAGTCAATGTTTGGTATAAAAGATAATAATTTGAACAACAAGTGTTTAATGAAACGTAGAAAAAAAAAATTGCCCAAGTTTTCTAAGTTTAAAGTGACAGTGATTAAAATTCAATTTGGTATAAAAAATAGTCTGTGTTTGTGGTCAAGTGAAATAGCTAGATTAATATTTGAAAGATAAAACATAGATTGACATTGTATAAAAGGAATTGTTACTATATGGCAGTTAAAATATGTAATAAATGAACAAAATGTTAAATAATAGCAAATATAATGAACACGCACAATGTATTTTGACTATATATTTTTTTATTATTATTATTTCTATGGGATTTCACAGCTCACTTTTGGCGACAACAGAATATCAGTGTTTTGCTCTTTTTAGGGCAAAGAAATAAGCTGAGTTGTTACCATTTTGTGTTACTGTGGTACACGCATGAAGGGGAAAAATTGTTACTAAAATTAGTAACAATGCATTTTTTCTTTTTTAATTTTTTGTACATGTATCTTTTTTTATCCTTTTTCACTGTACATTTGTCTATTGATGTTTATGTGCTGTAAGTAATGCAAATAAATTATCTATTTATCTATCTATGTAAATTGTGGACAAGAATACAGGGATCAGACAGACAAAAAATGTAATAAGAAACTTTACAATTGGCTTACTGAGAAATGTTTTTTTTCACTTGAAGACTATTTTAATGTAAAATTATAAAGACAAGATCCGAGTTAAACATTTGCACGCCACATGGTTGAACTCAGAGATTCTATTCCTAACATTAAATACTTTTAATGTAATAACCTGTATTCAAACAAATAAAGTTATAATTAATTCATTCTTTTGATTTTTTATTTGTAATAAATAATAAAAAAAAAAATACCCAAATGGATTTTAAAAATTCCTTCACCTAAAAAGTTTTAATGTCAGAAAGAGATACGGGCTTTCTTTTATTTTAAAAATGCCATACGAAGCTGGAGCGTGTCACTAGTTTGATTATAAAATAGTGCATGTGGTGTTCGCCTGCAAAAGACATTTACATTAGGCAAAATTATTTTTTGTGTTATTGATTAAGTAGCATGTAAAATGTAAAAGTTGTAGGCGAACCTTATTAAATAAATAAAAAAAAAAACAGTCTCGTTTCTACGTCTTTGCTGGAATACGCTTGACTGGAATATTCCAAGTCAATACTTAGAATAGCAAATCGCATGTTATCCTTGGATCCCCAAGGACACATACACGTCTACAAATATAGAAACTATCTACATTAATAACAGAAATAAAGTCATATTTCTTCGTCTAACGCAAGTAGCTGTTTGTTTCTGTATTTTGCCGCAAAGTTTTTCTGAACTTCGCCCTTATTAAAATATACATTGTGCGAATGGGCGTAGGTGGCCAAGCTTTTCCTAATAGCTCGAGGGCAACTTTTGGAAAATCAAATTTGGTTTAAAATCTCATATTAGTATATTATAAGTACATTTAAGGAAACACAACATTAAATGAATCTGGGATTGGAGTCCGAATAAAATCGTTATGTCGGCAATAAATGAAATTTGAATAATTCTCTTTGGCTATTAAAATTTTAAATGAGCTATATCTGCTTTATATACAGTGGGAAATAATACTGATCGACTCATCAAATACCCGGAGCGGTTTAATTAAATATTCGACTTTTATCTTGTATAAATTATATTGTATAAAATATTTAATATGAATTTGATATCGAAATTAAAACATTATTTATTTATTTATATACACTTTATTGCACCATTTATAAAATAGTATTTAACTGTAATAAGAAATGATACAAAAGGCGGCCTTATCGCTAAGCAATCTCTTCCAGATAACCTTTGGGTAGAGAACATTGAGAAAAGAAAGAAAAACAAAGGGTAGGTGGCGCACTATTATATATAAACAAATATATACAAAGATATATACATATGTATGTATATACATATATATACATAAACAAATACATAAACATACACAAACTTAAAAGTACACATACAACAGGAGAGAGTGACACTGGAAGATGAAGATAGAACATGGGAAAAGTAACATAAGTTACTTAAAGGGAGAGATAATGGGCTTTAACAGAGTTTTTGAAACTAGCGAGAGATTGAGCGCACCGAATAGAGATTAACATTAATTTTATTTTTTTCTTAAAGAATTTTCTATTAGTAAAAATTTCTATTTTTTTTTCTATAAGTTAGAGGTTAAAACAAAATTTGTAATCCTCCATATAAACTTGATAGTTAAAGGCATCGCATTAGTACACGAATGTGAAATATTATTTTTTTATCTTCTTTAAAAAGATTTCTTTGTTATAATAAAAAAGGGCAACTGAGCATACGGCTAATCTGATGGTAAGTAATTACCACCCATAGGCACTCGTAACATCAGATAAATTGCAGGTGTGTTGCCGCCCATTTAGAAATGAGTATATATTTTTTTAAGATTTGAATAAAGTATGTATTGAGAAATAGTGTTACTGGGTTACAATTCCAGACTTTGGTTGTGTGGAAGAAAGAAGTTGCAATTATAGACTTTATTCAGAGTGAAATAAAGTTCCAAAAACAAGAGGTCGCTGTATATTTCTATGCATATGTTAAGCGATCAGGTATTAACTATGAACCGATTTAAATAATTCTTTTTGCAATCCATAGGGTTCACTCTTATGTTGATTTCATATTAATGTTTTGAGTATTAAAACTGCTGATTTTATTTGCGGAGCAAAAGTCTTTTTACACAAAAACTATTTGTTGAACAAATTGCTCGTTCTACATTTCAAACTGGCTATATGAATCCGTACTAAAAGTATCCTATATGCTAAGTTATAACCTAGTTGTGTACTCAATTTCATTCAAATCTGTTTAGTAGTTATTGTGTAAAAGACCAACAAACATCTATCTACCCATTTATCCATCCATCCATCGTTACAACCTTTCGTATATATAATTTTTTTTTATACAACTGAGAATGGCAAACTAGCTAACGGCCCACCTGATGGAAAGTGGTAACCGTCGCCTATAGACATGAGCGGTACCATGGACATAACAGAGTATACTGTTTCGCCCATGATACCCTCCATGGGTTGCCATTCCTGAGGACTCGGGTGTTATTCCTCTGTAACCAGTAAATTCACGCCCTTTAATATATCCCACCCTTCAAACCGAAATACAGCCATGCAAACACAACTGCTTAAATTGTTTTTTTTTTTTTTTTTTTAACTAATATAAGAAAATACAACGGAATTTGGAACCCCTTCATTTTGAAGTCAAATGAAAAGTAAAAAAAAAAAAAATTGTAATGTAAAATATGTATAACATAAAATATAGAGAATCCAAATAGAGCCTACTATGTATTTACTTGGTCACTACACGAAAGTAACACGACCGAGTGAAAATTACATACGTCATATGTATTATGCAAACCAATAATCGAGTTTGTCGAATAACCTACGTTCGAACATTTTGTATGTTGTTATTATTTATTGTGGCACCATAACGCCGCCTCCCCAGCTATGATGTCAGTTTCATGTCTAACAGCAATCGATGGAATTTGTTTTCACCATGACACTGGCGTTTGCAAGGTTAATATCGAAGACGACGGAAGTAAAGTTTGTGTTTGTGTTGCTTAGGTTATTTGTTTGATATATTACTAAAATGTCCCTGAGGGATTGTTTTGTTTTTGTAAAATTGTATGTAAATGTTTAATTCCTTATACATGTATGTGTATATTTTTTTATACGACTTAAAATGGCAAACAAGCTGACGATCCACCTGATGGAAAGTGGTAACCGTCGTCTATAGACGTGTGCAGTGCCATGGACATAACAGAGTGTACTGTTTCGCCCTCGATACATCTCATGCGTTGCCATTCCTGAGGAATCAGGTGTTATTTCTCTGTACCCTGTAAATTCACGTCATATCCCACCCTTCAAACCGAAACACAGCCATGCAAATACAACTGCTTCACGATTGAAATACGAATGGGACAGAGGTGCCCAAGCAAGTAATTTTTGTACAGTTTCCCTTTGGTAAATAAGAGCATATATACGTTATGGTGGGGGAGAGGGTCTAAGTAAATTCTCAAATCGGTTGTATGTTTCTTTAAATATCTGCTGCCTTATAACACTGTCAGTTGTAAAGCAATTTGGAAAATCCTGTTTTATCTGAAAGGATATACTTACAGTTTGATTAACATACATAGAAATTTTATCAAAATCGGTTCAGTACTTTAGATCCAGATGCTTTATTTGCATTAAACATGGTTACATTAGATATTCAATTGAGTACACTTCGAGCTATATGTTTCACCAAAATATTGGTTATCAAAAATTTATTAAAATATTATTATGACCTAGTATTTGTATTTGTAGTAATTTTGTATGTGAAATAGGTATATCAAAATTAAAAAAATATCATCTGAGAAAATAAAAAGTCTATTATTAATACATTATTTATTATATAGTTTTTAAATCAAAATAATTAGTTTTGCTAATGTCAAAGTCAGAAGGGAAAAAATGTTAGAACACTTGATACGATACGACGATCTTATGAACATTATAATAGAAGGTAAGATAGAAGGAAGGATGGGAAGAGGGAGACCGAGACATAGTTACATCAGGCAGATCAAGGAAGTAATTGGTGTCGTGTCGTATCAAGAGGTGAAGAGACTCGCTGAAAATCGTAGTGAGTGGCAAGAGCTACACCGACAAGAGCCCAGCTCTTAAATAGGATTTATTTTATTCACAGTTCTTAAAAACACAACTTATATGCTAAGTCTCTTATGAATACAACCAATAACGGATTTTATTTATACAAATGAAAATTATAATTCCAAAGCGAGGCAGGCAAGTTAGAGTGGGTATATGCAAGTAATATAAGCACATGTATGAAAGAAACCATGTGTATAATAATGAGTGACCATAAAGTCAGGATAAGTAATGTAAAAATAATTAAAATCCATGTTGCTACAGTTCAGATAGCATAGATAGATAGATAGATGGTCCAAGCTGGTGTTTTTTGTAGAACATAACCTTAAATTATATATATATATTAAATTATATATATATATATATATATATATATATATATATATATATGCTGCTGCTGTTGTGGGTGATCATGGGCGGCGGTAGTCACTTACCATCAGGTGAGCCGCATGCTCGTTAGCCCCCTGTGTTGTAAAAAAATAATTATTTTGCTATCTTGTCCACAGCTGTGCTGCGAGTTGCTACTACTCATATCGGCCAACGGTATCGGCCTTTACTATAGAGCTTTGACGGAGCGAGCTCACCGCAACACCTTCGCTGGTACCAGGACCTGCCTGGAGCAACGGGTCAAGCTCGAGTGCGAACGGGAACAACAGGAGAGGCTGCTCCTGTCTGTCATACCAGCTTACATTGCTGCTGAGGTAAGTCACAAAGTTGTTTATCCTTTTTTTTTTAACGTCTGGAAAATGCTTTATGCAGACCTATACACCTTGTGGGAGGTGAATGGGTACTGTGGGAATCCCCCCGTAAGGTAGGGGTGTACCCACCAAAAACCAGACGATATACCCTCGAGGTGCCATATGTCGGAGACATGGGTTCGCTTTCGCACTCACCACATCTCCGACGGCAGCGACCCGCCCCCTGATGGTAAGAGCAGGTCTCCTCTCTCAAGATAGGGTGGACGGCGTGCTCACCCTACTACTCGGGGGATGCGCCGGTATATTAGCACATCCCCCAGGAAAGTTTTTTATCTTGACTGATTCATTAACGCATAACCTAAACCGAAAGACCGAGGAATAACTACATGGGACATATAAAAGAAACACTAGGTGTCATGTCGTATAGGGAGGTCAAGGATATGGCCTGGGATAGAACTGGCTGGAAGAAGATGCATGAATTAGTTGCACTGCCAAGAGGAAACTCTTAAATGAAAAGAAGAACTTAAATTATAGGGGTAAAAATTTGTAATTTTGGCAGTTGATGTATTTTACAATGTTAATGGAAAAAAAATCCTTCCTAAGTGGATACTTTGGATGAGTTTTTGAAAATTCCACTCCAATGTTTGTGATAATAGTGATGCGATTATATTTAAAAAACTACGACGTTATTTGGATCCGGTAAATGCATTTCAAAGGAATTTTCTCCTGCAAATCCTTAGACTGTGGAATGAGCTCCCAGTCGAAGTTTTCCCTAGAGATTACAGTATGGGGTTCTGCAAAAAGAATGTATTAAAGTTTCTTCAGGGTCGGCAACGCGCATGTGATACTTCTAGTGTTGCAGGCGTCCGTAAGCTATAGTGACCGTTTACCATCAGACCTTATATGGTTGTTTGTGACGTTCGTGCTATAAAAATAATGTTGTTTTTCTCTCTCTACTACCATATACTTGGGCCATTTTTTTTTATCGAAATAAAAATTTTTTTTCTATTAAGTCATTGCGAACAACATATGTTTACGAAATTTCATACAAATTAGTTGAGCAGTTTCAGAGATTAGCGTGAATTGGCAGCTAGAAACAGTTTGCATAGAAAACATTAAAAATGAAATTTTTACTATTTTTCTGGAAAAACAATTTCCAATTTTTCTCTTCATTAGAACTTTCCTCGTAATATTTGAAACAAAAAACAAATACCAGTCAATTCAGCCGTTCTCGAGTTTTACTTAGCAACACACTTAGCGTTTCATAGATATGTCTTAGAAGGATAAATATATATTAAAACTAACGACTGAGTTTTTATGTTGGTAAAAAAGAAACTCAGTCGATCACCATGATGTCGGTGACAGGTGACAGTTGACGTTGATGTCAATATACTCGACCTATGGAGATGAACGTTGACGCATTTCAAAACTTAATATAATAAAACCTTGATTATATAGATAGAGCCATAAGCCTCAAAAACGGGTCAACTTTTGTCAGTTAATTGTAAAATTAGCTGACTCGTTGTTTTTATCAGTGTTCTATACATTAACGCATACAATGTACCTTGATGTATTATTCAATAAATATAATGAGTATTTACGCATTAAAAAGATGCAGAAATTATAAGTCTAAATAAATATAGAAGTTATAAAGGATACACCCATAACTATTTATCATGAAATTTTTTATGAAAAAGTTTACTCGCTTTTCTCGAAGCCTTTTACTTATAGTTAAATTATAATTCATTTAGTTTAAAACCGATTTGACAAATTATGTTTTATCTGAAAGGATATCCTTACAGATTACAGACTGGTCGCATAGAATTTTTATTAAATCGTGTAGGTTTCATGCTAAAATCGAAATAGAAGTGAATTTTCAAAAAAAATTACAGAAATTACCGAAAAAAAAAATGTTCAAAAGACTCAGGTAAGCAAATAACATGATACGACGTTCTCGTGGCGTTGTAATTCGTTTACTGGTAAGCAAACTTTACCATTTGTAAAGATAAAACAAGTCTTGAATGTTAATATTGTCCCCGGTGGACGAATTGCGTGTTGCGTATACAAAATGTGATTAAATTGACAAGCGCTGCGGCGCAGTGGATAGTGCGTTGCTCTACGAACGTGAGGTCGACGGTTCGATTTCGGTCAGGTCATTATTCGACGAACATGTTTTTTTTGATGGGTGAAAATGGTATGGTAACCCTTCCTGCGCTAACGGGATATGCCGGCGGAGCACCAGTAAAGGGTGATAGATGAGAATGAAAACAGGTCAGTTAGCTTATCATGATGAATTCATCAGGAATTAACCATGATAGTTTCCAGGGAGTAACCCGAGGAGGTCACCCTGGTTTTTTTATTTTTCCAAAATTATTTGGTTTGCGATTGGGAGATGAGTATTAAGCTTAAGCATCTTAGTTGACTTAAGCTGCGATTTGATATAGCATAATGAGGTCGACCTGGTTGGGTATATTACTAGCAATGGAATTCTCAGTCTCCATTACTAACATTTCTTTCCCCCCCGACGATCATGTTAGTGGAGAAGATTTCATAAATCGTAAGGTTATAGAAACATTGCTGTAGGCATAATACTAGATAAATGATGTTTTATATACATCATATACATAGAAAATTTATGCTCACGACTATAATCTCTAATGGGGTCAGGAAAAAATGGGGTAGTCAGAAAGTATTATTTTGACGACTTTTACTTATCGTAGTGATGTACGTGACATTCCTCATGTTCGCATTTTGCCAAGTACATTCAAATTTAACTTGGCATGGTGGCGGTTGACGATCTGTAAAGGTTGTTAATAGTATTAAATTAACTTGTTAATAACAGTTTTTATCACCAAAGAACTAGTAGAAATTGTAAGGATCGATTTCGAAAGAATTATAAAAATTGGTTTAGATAACGGGTAACACATACACGCACACACACACGCAAACGCGTACACACACACACAAACATACATGCACGCACGCACGCACGCTCGCACGCCATCCAAACAACCACGCACGCGCACACCCACACGCACACACATTCAGACTCACATGCACGCACGCACAGACGCACGCATGCACGAATGTATGCATACGCATACATTTACATATTTATGGAAGGCGCTTAAAAATATAGAATTTAAGGTTGTGTGACGCATAAGAAACTTATTTATGTTAATAAGGAAGAAATACGTGTCAGTATTCGTAAATATTATCCTGATTATCTATGAAACATTGTACAAATAAACAAAGTAATAATGAAGACAGCTCTCTTTTGTGAATTATAATAAGGTGTTCGTGTCCATTGTATACAGTTTAGCGGGACGACATTGCATTGGGGAATCTAAGATCGAATTATGAGCCTTTAAAAAGCCACTTCCAAAATTAGTAGATTCTCAATATCTCGGTGTATGTTTTTTGTTATAATAACGTTATATGACCAGATTGATTTATCTCTCTCCTCTCCGGAACTGACTTGCATACATGAATTATGAAAGTGAGTAAAGCTGGAGATGTATTCAAAGCGGTCTGGCACTGGGCTCTCTCTCTTTGCCTCACGGGATATCTGGCCTGCAGATTGATATAAATCCACATTAAAATATGGTGTATATTCGCTAGCTCGTCCTTGAACTATATAAATGCTAATTGTTAAAATACGAATAGTGTTATATTTAATATTAATTAATGAATTATATATAGAGAGGTGAAACACATGTGACAAAACGTGCGTGGACTGAATAATAGTCGAATATTTGTGACTAATATGGACAATTGTAGAATTTTTGATAATAATAATAGGAGTCAAATTTCGAGTAATGACCATTGCACGTATACTAGTGGTAGCGGTATTAAACAAGACAAGTCTAATCAACTAACTTAATATTAAGATTTTCCGTCGTGTCGTGTCGTATCGTGCGACAATGGCACCGAGCGCAAGGCTCGTGTCTGGCATCGCAAACAGGTGGCCGTTATTTCGGACCAGATGGTCCATTAAGGTCATCCACTTGGCTATACATTTACTTTGACCTACTCCATATTTTATTGTATATAATCGACCGTTTGTCACTTGACTGTGTCAACTGTCTTAGCTTATTAACATTTGAGAGTTTGCTTAATTGAGTTTCAGTAAATATAAAAAAAGATACAAGCAGAATATGAGTAAGTGATTATTCTTTTACAGAATTTATGTTTCATATGAAAATTAAGTATTGTTACAGTATCTTTTTGAAACTCACGAACGTAACCTTCGTTCCAATAATAACGCATAAATAATAATACGCTTCAAACTCTTTTCTCTTACATTCTTCACGATTTTGGAACGCGCTTCCTGATGCCATTAAGAGACTACCGACTAAACCATCTTTCAAAAAAAGCGTTCACGCTCACTTTTTTTCTTTATTTTTTTTTATTTCTTTATTTCGAGCAGTAAGTGCATTTTATTATTCTCAATTTCGTGTATAATATAGTATATATCATATATGTGTAAGTATATTTGTTATTCATATATATTTATTCGTTTATATATGTAATTTTAGTATGTATGTATATCAATAATTAGTAGTACCGCATTCGAGTATTCTGACACTTCCCTATGGTTGACTGGGAGAGAATGTTTTTAGCATTAAGTCCGCCATGTACACATATTTGTACTAATGAATAAATAAATAAATAATATGTCTCATGTACCGAAACTATTTAGATTTTTAGGGTTTCCTACGACCTTACTAGTATTATAAATGTGAAAGATTGTAAAGTAGATGATGCTCACGGCCACCTTCTACCATCGTATAGCTCACCATAGACGAGAAGTTCCTATACCTTAGAGCCTAAATAGTTTCATACAGCACGGTTTCAGAGATGTTTTCTTCAACAAACGTTCAGGTTATGGTATGAGCTTCCTGTCGAGATTTTTTCAAGAGATTACAGTATGGGGTTCTTCAAAAAAGGGATAAAAAAGGGTTTTTTCAGGGTCGGTAACGCGTGCGTAATGTCCTTGATATTACAGGTATTCATAAACTAGTTTCAGTAATCATTTATAGACATAAACAATACCATGAACATAACGCATGAATACTCTATGCGTCTATATACCTAAGGAATAAGGTACCCTGTACCCTTTAATTTCATTGTCATATACCACCCTTTAAGCTGGAAAATAGCCATGCAAACACAACCGCTTCTTGCTAGAAATACGAATGGGACAGAGGTATCCAAGCAGACGACTTTTGTATAAAGTCTTGTTCTGGTGGTTTTCACCACCAAAGTCCAAGGTGATAGTTGAATAAGAACCTTACAGTTAGATCGTAAGGTTCATTTTAGTTCGCTGTCAGAGTATTTTTTAAACAAATATGTGATGTAATATTTAGTTGTTTAAATATTTTTGACAGATAACACATAATTCCGCCGCCATAACATTAATATGCACGCTCTTAGTATTTTTTTTTCTTTACAATATCATTATATGTCAGGGACATAACCTTTCTGTATTTATTCACTGCCTTATCAGAAAGAGTTTGCCTAATTATACTGTCACTTGAGATGAAAAATAAACTGAGGATTAAAAAGTAATCCAGTAACTCCGTTTTACTTTAAAGATCTTTAAAAGATTGTGCCTAATCTCTGGCGAAATGACGGGTTTTTACGTCGAGTAAAAGTCAGCATTTTGGAGCTTTTAATTTGATATTTTAATTAACATCTTTCCATTTTTAATACTCTGAAGGATGTGGCGTAAAAATCTGAGATCATTCTTAATATCTAGTTCTGATATGTCTAATCTGTTGAGTAATTTTTAAAACACTTCTACAATGAAAAGAAAAAAAGGAATGCTTTCAGCGCCTTTGATATATTTTGTGGCTCTAATATGTATATGATTACGTTGAATTATGAGCAGATTTTGGTCAACTGTAATCAATTTGTAAAATGGTAACCGTCTACAAATACGTGCGCAATATTTGTATTTGTAGACGGTTGCTATAATGTGATTATTATTATCTTATGTTATGTGACAACTAGCTATCCGTCCTGGTATCGTACGGATAGATAGATAGAAAAATAAATGAGTATTTTATATTAGCTTTAATAGGCAACATTTTGGTACTTAGGATTACTTTATTACAATTTTTATGGGCGTCTCCAATTTATTTTTAATAATGTATTATAACCTATATACCAGAGGGAGACTTTGTACAAAAGTCGATTGCTTGAGTATCTCTCTTGAAGGCAGTTGTGATTTGCATGGTGTGTTTTGCTGGGATATGGCGGAATTTCGTGAGTCCTCAGGAATGGCAACGCATGGGGGTATCATGGGCGAAACAGTATACTCTGTTATGTCCATGGTACTGCTCATGTGTATAGACGACGGTTACCACTTTCCATCAGGTGGGCCGTCAGCTTGTTTGCCATTCTAAGTTGTATAAAAAAAAATGTTATACTGATAATTTCAACTGATAATGTAAAGAATTTTAAAATTGATTAAGTAATTTTTGAGTCTATCCATTTCAAACTACGTAACTGATAAATAAATTTTTGACTTCTGATAATTTTTATTTTTAAGTAAAATCATTATTATATAATTATATTTATAGAAAATGACAATCAGTCTCCAACAAGTGGACCGTCAGTTTGTTTATCATCAAAGTGCGTATAAATGTCCAACGCGATAATATTATCCAATTATTATAAATTAGGTGCATGTGATATTTATTACTTTAGGTGTAATTTAATAATGTTGTACTGATTATATTATAGAAAATAGTTACTATATAGTTAGTTATTTTATAGAAAATAGATATTAGAAAATTCTAATATTTGGACTGACACATTTACTAGCTTGGGATTTATCTAGGCAGTACGCGTAGTGGACGAATCAACTCAGTGCTCTCATTACCACACATTCTACTACCAGTTTGTGGTTCTATATTAAACATCTATTATACACTAGAAATGTGATTTATTTGATTGTATAAGGTTATAACCCAATATAGTCCGGAAGATAAGCAAGTTGAAATGGCAGTAGGTTGGCACATAACTCGAAGAACCGATAACCGATGAAGGAGAAAGATTCTCAAATGGGGTCACCCCATACAGGAAAATGCAATGGAGGACGACACTCCACTAGATGGAGTTACAACCTTAAAAAAAATGCAGGAAGCCAGCGGATGTAGGTGGCTCGGGATCATCCCTAAAGGCAGTCTATGGCGGAGATCTATGTTCAGCAGTGGACAGGTAACGGCTGATATAAGCATGACGAAGATTATATTGGAGCACCATTAAAGAAATCTTCTAAATGTTTGCTTTGATGTTGGGTGTAATGGATGATGTAAAAAATAAAATACAGATAATAAAAAAAATATTACTATTTATATTTTTACTTCCAGTGAAATACATTTAATGTAACTTAGGAATTACTTAAGACTACATCAGTCACGTTTGGTCACAATTATTTCTAATATTCGCATCAAATACAATTGTTGGTATTAGTTGTCGTAATATTTTCATTTCACAACATAGTACTGCAAGTGAAAGCACCTCTCACGATTATCAAACTGTACTAGTTGTCTTTGGAAATTCAGTCTTATTTGCAAGATCACAATTTCCTTCAACAGCTTCTAAAATATCACAAAACATCTTACGATCCGGCGTAATCCCTTCTCGAAGATTCTGTATCGGACTTTGCGATACTCACATGGATTGTTATAGATTCTTCATTTTCTGATTTTATAATATTGTTCCACTGAACATCGGCTTTTTTACCAAATGTATCGTTTTCTATTAATATAATTGACTTAGTGCGTATCGCTTTGCTCTGGAACTCTATTAGTGCACAGTATTCACTTTTCTTCGATTCCGTTTTCTGATCTGCTATATATCCTAGTTTCCTTCTCATCACTTCAACTCTGACCTGATAGTTGTATATGCAGACTTTAATAATAAATGCGCTTTTGTGAAGGAGCAGAATAATTCTGTATTTAGTTCTACAGCAAGCTGTTTTCTTGAGCTTGGTCTGAAAATTTTCTATAAGGATTTTTATCTTCTGAGAGTATACGGCGATGACGTTGTGTGTTGACTGAATATGTGCTGACAACTCTTCGAATGGAATAGAACAGCAATTTGCTGTTATAGGACACATCATGGTATCGAATTTACAATCTTCCTCGTGCTTCGATCTGGTGTCAGCTGTGAGCAGTTCTGTACAGCCTCGTCTGTGGACAAAAAGGGATAAAACATTAATGCAAAGTAAATTAATCCATACCTGTACTCATTATTTGTGAGACTCTTATTACAGACAGTAGTAAACGATTTCGAAATCTATTACCAGAGGGAGACTTTGTACAAAAGTCGATTGCTTGGGTACCTCTGTCCCAATCGTGTTTCAACCGTGAAGCAGTTGAGTTTGCATGGCTGTGTTTCGGTTTGAAGGGTGGGATATGGCGTGAATTTACAGGGTATAGAGGAATAACACCTGAGTTCTTAGGAATGGCAAAGCATCGGGGTGTCATGGGCGAAATAGTATACTCTGTTATGTTCATGGTACTGCTCATGTCTATAGGCGACGGTTACCACTTTTCATCAGGTGGGACGTCAGCTTGTTTGCCATTCTAAGTTGTATAAAAAAAAAATATTAACTTAGGATATAACCATTCATTTTTTATATTTTTACATGTATTAATATTAATTATATAATACGAGTATTATAAGCCAAATATGCAATAATAAATGACAATATTTATAATATATTTATTAAAAGTCGAATGTCAAACAAACAATACGAATATATTTTGGTTTTATTGTTGTAAACATTATACCCTCTTATTTCACCAACTACGATAAACTTTTGATCTCTATCTGGTTTTTTATCTAGAATGTTCTACTTCAGATTTTGACTGTAGTTTTCAAGAATTTATACAAAGTAAATAAATAAAATTATACCTATTTATATAATAATAAGGTACTTATCTATGCCATCATAGAAAAAGTACTGCTACAATATTACTTGTCTACTCATAGGATCATCATCATCATCATCATCATTTCAGCCATTATCTGTCTACTGTTGAATATAGGCCTCCCCCATAAACTGCCATAAGTAACGGATATGATAATATATCTATGTAATAAAGTATCTATTATTATTTCTTATTATTATTGTAGGTATATACTATTTTTAATTTAGGATTCTAAAAGTCATTTACGGCCAACAGCAGTAGACTAGCTAAAGATCCCTAATCTTTATTAACTGTCCAATATATGAATTACCATAGATTATCTTATATTAAATATAGAACGTATAAAATATGAGATTAAAATACTTTTATATTTATACATAAGTTAAAAAAGTAATTTCACGACACATAAAATTTCGTAGAATTATTTTTTAACTTATACTTTGAAGATTTTACATTTTAAAATCTAACAAAGTTTAAAACGATGCCAAATATATAATATTTTAAATTGCTAAGTAATATATACCTAATAAATGGACAGTTTAATATATTATCAATAACAGTAAAAGCACTTTACAAAAACCCTTAATCTCCCATTTTACGATTTATTTGCAGCAAAGCCTATAACTGGTGTTAGTAAAAATTTATTGGCCAAACAAAAAGTCCGGTAAATTGAGTGTCTCGATACGTAAAAATCTTTTTATGTAGGATTTACGACATGGCTATGGTCTGAAGGCGAAGATAATGGGATTAGTAGATGTCCTTGGTAAGCAAAAGGTGTTTGATGAGGAGTGATATCGATTGCTCCATGGTTTGTTGAGTGAATTCTATTGCTTGTTCTATTCTATTGAATTTATTGTGATTTGAAAAGACCTTATTGATATTATTGTAAGAAAAATAAAGCGTTTTAAACACATTGTATTTGGGATGGAAAAAGATATCTGCTACTTATTATCTCGGTCTAACAATATATCAGGACAAATTAATATTATAAACTTTTCCATAATTGGTCATCAATAAATCAAAATATAAGAAATTTCCATCAAACATTGAAAACGGTATTTCATAACGCAAGTGATGTGCTAGTTATCATTTGCATCATGCAATCTAATGATAAAAAAAAACTAGGCTGTTAGCACGCAATCAAAGGCGTTCTATAAAAATAGATTATTTTATCAACGCCTCGCTAAAACTGCTGGAGTTGGAAGTCTTAAATTTTGCACGAATATTTTTGTTACGTGACAAGCATTCACTAGGTAAGGGTTTTAGAAGGTTCCACGGAAATAGAAGACAGATGTTCGCGCGGGCGAAACTACGGGACAGATGTAGTTTATGGTAATCCTTATATTGTAATTCTAAAAAGTTTTTAGAAGTTAATTGTTGTAAGAAAAAGCTTTTTCAATGTACATAGTATTTAGGATTTATGAATGCAGTTGTTAAACATTTTGAAATAACGGTCAATATCGGGTCTATTTAGAAAACGAATTATTCTAATTAAATCGTACCTGTAATTCCGACATGGCAGCATGAGATCATTGATCAACCGCTGTAGTGCTAGGCATGGTGTAGCGGGTGCTCGGAGGGAACCACGGCACCATGCACATCGGGTAATGCGACGGGAACACTTCGTGCACCATACACCGCCGCATGATGGGCAAACGCAAGGACCGCAACACTGAAAGAGGAAATATCTGGATTAGAAGCAGACCAGGCAGCAGTCGGTTCATTTATTGTATTTAGGAGAGACATATTCCTACTTGTAACATAGCAAAAGAATTTTTTAGCCGTACATTGTGCTTTGAAACTACCCGCTTTTTACTGATTTTATGAATCACGTCTGAAAATGTGGCGCGCACATGAATGCTTCCCCAATGTTTTTTTTTATACAACTTAGAATAGTAAACAAGCTGATGGCCCACCTAATGAAAAGTGGTAACTGTCGCCTATAGACGTGAGCAGTACCATGGATATAACATAGTATACTGTTTCGCCCATGATACCCCCCTGCATTGCCATTCCTGAGGACTCAGATGTTATTACTCTGTACTCTGTAAATTCACGCCATATCACACCCTTCAGCAGCCATGCAAACACAACTGCTTCACGGTAGAAACACGAATGGGACAGAGGTATGTGGTGTATGATTTTGACCTGAATAAATGTAAAAGAATTAGTTGAGTATCGGTATCGTAAAGATCTTTCTTTGGAGAGATACAATTATGATTGTAATTACCGGCGTGCTCGTGAGGATCTTCCCTAAACAGTTACAATTTTGTTAGCCGCCAGCTCCAATAATGCACCAATAAGGAGAAAGTATTAGAAAACTAATCAGGTGGAGCATATATTTCAGTTTTGTATTATTTTTCGTAATACAATAAAAGGAAAGAAAATACAGTTTGTAAATAAGTAAACTTAATGCCAATATATTGTCTTAAAGTCTTAAAACTCCTACGTTGTTAATTGTATGCTGCTATCCTAACAATGCCAGTACTAGTTTTCAAGCTAAAACAAAAGGGAACTAATTACTCAGGAACGAAATAGAAAAATGGTAATAGTAGTACAGTTATGAAAGTTTTCTAGCTTTACAGGAGTTACAGAATAGAACAAACTAAATATAAGCAATTAAGTTACTTTAGTACTTTTGTAATTTGCTCGAAGTAATATTTTAGAAAACTATTTTCCAAAACTCTAGCTAATATTATCCTTACTAAAATTAGGAATGTGAATGTGAGTTGGTTCGTTATAGTGTAAGGTTGCTCATAGTATTTGGGACGGAGAAGAACATGAACTATTTTTTATATCATTTACAAGGATCGAGTTGCTAGTACATCTAGTTTTAAATAAAAAAAATCAAGGAAATTTTCAAAGACCTCGATCAAAGATCGTAAAGTCTATAAAACAAATTCTCTTTGGTTACGTTAAGTTACATTATGGTTACATACTGGCTTTACTAATATTTTTGTTCGTATCCAGTCTAAAGCTCTAATTAAAACTTTACGAGGTACCTAATGTTATCTATGTTATTTTAACAAGTTCACGTAAAGTATAATTAGTACAAACTAGGTCACGAAGTTATTTTTGATTTTTTTCAACTTTTATAGTGATATCGTTAATATAACGGACAATATTATTAGTTTGAGTAGACAGTAATTCGTTATCAAGTATATTCTGTTTACATGTGTCAATGTACGCAAGGCTATAAAAAGTCGCACTTAGTGGATTACAAACACAATGATACGAGATTCTATATTTATTTTGAATGATGTCAGACAAATGCAACATGACAAAGGAGTGAACCAAGTATGGGCCCCTGAAGTACTTCCTCTTCAAATGACATTCAAGCTCCTATGTGTTGCCTTATATAATATACAAATATGCATATATTATTTATTATATATTTGTTGCCACGTTAATATCTGTACGTTATTATGGTCGGTAAAAAATGAAAATATCCGAGTGTTACCATCAGTGAAAAAATCGATAAAAAGCCTCTAAAAATTTCGTATTGACTAAAAACTGATAAAAGTACATGACGTCATATTCTTAGACTTGCATGTTGAATTTTTTTGTAGTTTCTTACCTGCAAGGGCTCCAAGCAAATACTGCATTCTGAGAATCTAGATAGAAATTCATCGCAGTTGGGGCATGAACACTGTGCAGCGTGACCTTCGTCTATTGGCTCTAAAGGTGTCTCCACTAATGGCGGCGATTTATCTGAAAAGAAAAATAAATTTTATTATGCTGACACACTTTTTTAGTCCGTTTATAAAAAACGTTATAGTAGTTCAACACATATTATTTTCTATACGCAATTTCCCCAAAAATGTATGAATAAAATATATTATTTATGTACCATCTATTGTAATTGTGATATTTTATTAACGTTAATTTTTATACACCTTTTCGATTATAACTCATATAATTTTATTATATTTCTGTTTGTTAAGTTTATTGTTACAAGATTAATTGTTGATAACAAATATAAGATACATACGTATGACAAAGATATATATGTACGTATAAACATATTTGTAATATATCAAAAACAAAATATATTTGGTTGTAATATTTATTTAAATATTCTACGTTGTGGCATTGGACTGCTTAAGATAGATTTCCTACTGTACACTAGATTAGTTGTATTTACTATTGTAAAGACAATGAACAAAGTAATTTACATAATTATGGTGAAACATTAAAATTTTAAATGGCACCAAATGTACAATATTTTAGTTTAGTTTCGATTATAATGTTACTGTCAATTTACGTGCAATATGAACAAACTTACAATAGGTATAAAATTATTGCGTTTAAGTACTATTAAATATAGTAACGTAATAACGTAAATGACATAGCTGCGGTTACTTAACAAGCACTTAACCATGTCAGGCTGAAAGTGAAAGGATTAACGCATGGGGCCACTTAGTAGTTGAACTGGATAAATATAAATATCTTAGTATTTTCCAACATCTATATAATTTTATGTTAACTTTTAACTAATCAAGGATAGTAACAATTAATTTGCACCGTCTGCGTTAAAACTATCTCTACGTTAAACTGCATCCAATTATGAAAATAGTACATTTCACGAGCGATGCATAAATTTAAACAAATTTAAAGAATGCTATAAGCTTTTGGTGTATGATGAAACTTGAATATAATAGAATAGAATATAACTTGAAATTTTCATGGTCTTATATATATATATATATATATATATATAAGACCATGAAAATTTCGTCAAATTCAAAACCTAACGAAATTGGTCAAATTGCAAAGTTATTTATTTGATGTTTTTAATTTATTTTGAAAATTGAAATTTATAGACAGGAATAGTTGGATAATTTACTAACAATTTTAATGATGTAATAAAATTATACGTGTATTTAAATTTAAACTTATCTTTCTTGCAAACTTTATCAACATTTTGTCTAGTATTTTAGCTGCGGAAAATTATTAAACTCCTGAAATTGACATGTTTGTTTATATGCTGATCAGTCGCTAACTTTGCCTTTTACATATTAATATGTGTCAACATTTACAGTCTACACATGTTATCTGTTAATGTAATTCAACTTCCTCATAATCAGCCGATCAGACTGCGAATTCCATGGTCGGAATAGCATATTATTTGAATTTTACAATAACAACTTTGCCGATTTGGCAAATGTTAGCCTCAACGAACTTTGTTAGGAAGACTTAGATACGTCAAGTGAATAGGTTAGTTCGAAAACCTTAAACTAATTAGTTTAAAATTTGGAAAAAATAAAATCTTTTTAGTCTTTGACTTTGTCCATTTAGAATTTGAAAAGGCCATCTTTTTTTTTATATGCCGCTATTGATCTCGATCTCACCTGATGAAAATCAATGATGTGGTCTAAGATGGAATTCGCGGCGAATAGCCTATTCAAGGCTATTTGTGGGCCCGCGAATTAAATATTTGCTTTAAATTGGTGCAAATAACAGTAACAGATATAAACATGTTGTGTTGTTGTAGCAACCATATAAATACATCATGTTATTATTATATTATTATACATCATGTAATAATATATAAACGTTAAATTATGAAGATATTTAAAAATTTTATTTATAACAAAAATTTTAAACCGTCCCGAGTCAAAATATCACTTCATTATCGTGTTTTGCAATAAAACGTGGTATTTGTCATTTATTTTCCGGGTAACCATAATAGCTTTCCACGATGTTGGTCAAGTCAATGTTTTTGTCGATATTTTTTATTAATACTCTCAAGATTTGATACGATATTCGCTTTTTGTGTTGTTGAATGAGGAAACATGAAATTAGATAGGTTTGGTTTGTTTTATTTTGCAATAATATCCGTGAAGTTGTTGTACGCATTTAGATCTTACTGTGAACGTAAAATTAACGTGAAATATTGGATAGGATTCTATGATTACTGTTAGATTCAGGTAATTAAGAGAAAATTTAAAGAGAATTAAAATAGTATATCTAAAATTAGAGAATAGATAAATCGATAGATACCAATTCTAACACAATTTTCAGCGAACATAAAATTGGCTTGACGAAGTGTAACAACGTAAAGTTTTCCTAAAACAATTTAAAAGATTTAAATGTTTCTCATTGTTCTTTTATACAACTTAGAATGGCAAACAAGCTGACGGCCCACCTGATGGAAAGTGGTAACCGTCGCCTATAGACATGAGCAGTACCATGGACATAAGGGTATACTGTTTCGCCCATGATACCCCCCATGCGTTGCCATTTCTGAGGACTCAGTATTTAAAAAGTGTTCTTTTAGCAAACTAAATCGTTCACTTCAATCAGTCGCTGAAAATTTGGATTGTGATTACAAAAAAAATATTTGAGAAATTTCAAAGCAAATTTGAAGTACATACAAAGTTTTTAGTAATAGATTTATATTTAACGTATTTTATGATTAATGGTTTTGTTTGCTAACATCCTTTATAAATAATGGATCAGAAAAATTGAAAAATCAATTATTTGTGTTCAAATTTAATAAAATTAATTATTCACGGTTCTTAATGTTGGTTCTTGACCTTTGATCTAACTCCCAGTGTTCTATTACTGAATTTTACATTAAAACGAGATAATCAAACGGGCTAATTTTCACCTTTGGTATAGGTATATACTAGATAATAAATTAGTAATTGGACGTTACTAGGATCACTATCGACTAGTGATGTGCCTGAACAATTTGTACTAGTATTTTTTTTTATTATAGTACAGTCATTAAGTTTTTTATGTTGTATTATATAACATTATGTACGTAGTTTCCAATTTAACTATTCTTATTAATATTTTAAATGAGTAAGTGGTTATGTTTGACGTTTCTCACGTCTTACGGTTCAACCAATTTCTGTCAATCAATATTTCGATTTGTCCTCCCGGTAATATGCTGTGTGGTCCCGGCATAGGCCACCCCTTCCTTTCCCGTGGTTGTCGTAAGAAGCGACTATGGGAGGGTGAGGGATGGGCAGCAGCGTCCCTCTTGAAACATGTCTAAAGCCTAACTTCGGTTGCCAACCCGCCTGCCAAGCGTGGCAACTACTAGCAAAACCCCCCAAGGGGGAGACTTATGTTCAGTAGTGGACAGTTAAAGGCTGATATGATGATGATGATGTATATTCCAATTATATGCATTAATTCTCGTTATAACTATACGTATTAAAACAGACGTTAACAAATTAAGAGAAGAACTATCTATTTAGTGCATGAATCTGATAATTAATTATATAATAGTTGTATAAAAGTTTCATAGATCTATGTCAAGGTAACATATATTTGACGGGCTAAGTTACACTGTGTGTAACATTATTGTGCGGTCGAGACCTTGCAGGCAAGTAATGTCATTATTATTACATTTGTTTTGTTTGCCATCTGTAACCTTAGAATTAAAAGATACATTATACTATTCGAGTTACAAAGTTGCAGTTATTCTGCAAGTCCTTAAACGTAGTCTGCATGTTGTATATGCTAGTTGTTAAAGAGGCGAAAATAAATATCAATGTTTGTACAAAATTAGGCAACGTTTATTTTTATAAAGTAAATAGGTGTAATATTAGACACGTCCGTTAAAGTAGGGCTTATATCTAAAAGAGAGAGAGACAGAGTGCTATTGCCACTATAAAAATTACATTTCGGTAATTAAATATAAATTACTATTGGCAACCCAACAATTATTCTGAAAACAACAACTATTGAAAAAAAATGAACTTTCATTTTAAAAAAATTAAGATTGTTTGCAGAAGAATAACACCTGAGTCCTCAGGAATAGCAACGCATGGAGGGTATCATGAGCGAGACAGTATACTCTGTTATGTCCATGGTACTGCTCATGTCTATAGGCGACGGTTGCCTCTTTAGACGTCAGCTTGTTTGCCATTCTAAGTTGCATAAAAAAATATTATACATAGAAATAAGATTGTATTACTTTGAGGGGAAAATATAGTTACAGTAGTAGAACATTTCCTTAAATGTATATATTAATATTACCAGTAGTTGCCAAGCTTGACAGGCGGATTGACAATCGCAGTTAGAAAAGTTAGTTTTTGGTGATATTTAAGAGGAACGCTGCCGCCCATCCCTCAACAATTAAATTCCTTACATGTTTTTTACAACTCTCAGTGTAGGCCATTCTATACTGGGACCACACGGCTAGCTAATTAACAAATTGTAAGTAACAATTTTTCCAATCTCCTCTAGCCGACAATTAAATTAGATAGACTCTAAAATTACTTATAAATTTCCCTGAATTTTATACTAGCACCTTGTAAATTCCTGCGCGTGAAGTCATATAACGGATATCTGATGCAGTCTTTTGCGAATATGAATCAGTAGTTGACCCCCTTAATGTGACGTATAAATGATGTCACACCAAGTCAATAACAATTAAAGGAAAACTATCCTTAAGATGAGCAGAAATAAGTTTGAAATTCCACTAAAACAACTTCGAGACGAGTATTACTACGTAATTTTGATTGCGAAATTATGAATACTTAGTTGATGAGTAAAATCAATATTTGTCTAAGTATGACTATGTTTATTTATCAAACAGAATGATTAATTTATGTAAACGATCTCACTGTAACAGATATTATATCAGGAAGTGAGGTACGTGATAAGACTTCATGTAAATTAAGTACATCAAACGATAAAAGCAAGCGTTACCACTCGTGTCATGTATAATTTTTCTATTCATTGTCAGAATT